TTAAACAGTTTTCTAGGTGTTGTGGAAAGTAAATCTCTTCTCCAATTTCATGTTTATCTTCCATCATGGCAAGTTAGTTCTGGCATAAATTTTTTAGGCCTGTGGAGCCATATAAATTTGCCTGGCCAACTTAGAACAACAAAGAGACTGATTAAATCAAGCTTGGCAGCCCTTTAAATTCTTTTTTAAAGCAACTTTATAGCATTTCTTGACTGCAGCACTACAGAATGAAGTTTGAAAACCTTACACTAAAAAGTAAGCTACTTTAAATTAGGTATAACACAAGAAATCTGAAGTTATCAATACATATATATCCTCACTCCCTGTCACCCCTATTTTTTTTTTAACAGGATTCTTCTTTTCTATTATGAATCATAGGATGGTTTTATGCTTTTAAAGAATCTGGCTCACATCAGATATTTTCCAAGAAGACAATCAAGCATGTCAAACAGAACAGTAGTTCTCGATGTTTAAAAATTCCTGACCAATAAAGATTGGTTTTTATCTGAGATCTCTAGAGAATGAACTTCAGTTGAACTCAAATATCCAGAGATAGAGAACAAATGGATGGATCAATAAGAGCCTCTTGGGCTTCTCCACCTTCAAAGGTTAGTTCTACTGAAGGCACGTACAGCCCCAAGGGTGTCTTCTAATGTTAATTGGCAATAAGGATTTTGATACAATTACGACAAGTAGGGAGTGCAGGAGGGAAGTAGAGGGAGAGGTAAGAACTACAATACCTTGATATTCAAAAGCACGAGTACACATATAAATTGACTAATATATAACTGTGATTACATGAGGTCTTTATAAATAATTGGCATGATTAGTAAGTACCTTATGCTAAGACCCTGAAATCAAGAACAGCTTATAATACAAGGAAGAAAAAAGTATCTCAAATGCCAACAATCTAAGACCAAGGAACAAATGAATTTAATGTAACTATTTTTTAATAATCTTTGATCCTAAAATATACCAAAGTCCCAACTCCCATAGGCAAAGTCATAACATGTAACCAAAATGTTTGTACCCCCATAATATTCTGAAATAAATAAATAAATAAAATATATATATACCAAACCCCTAACAAAACCAGTTCTCCTACTTCAAATCAATGGTCCTGATTGAACAACAAACAAAAATCATCGTGTTACAAATATCAGCATAATCTGTAAACGCTGAATAAAAACAATGTTTTATTTTGGGAAAAAAGAGTTTTGGAGGAAGTGAGATGTAAATGGAAGTAACTTTTAACAGAGACATCAAATTTGAAAATACTAATATGATGCTAAATAATAAATAATCACCTCTTTCTAAAAAATAATTACCTCTTGAATAACCAAAATAGTATGTCATTTTAAAATATGTTCATTTCAATAGCATTCATATAATATTTAAACTGTCTAGAAGTACCTCTTACTTGTAAGTCTATAATTTCATTCAAAAAAAACATAGACACCACTAAATTTGTTCACAACAACTTAATTCCATGCCTAGTGTTTTCTCAGGGAATAAGTGATCATTTGGTCGTATTATGAGCATGTGATTTATACCAACATTTTCCCAAATCTAAGATTAGTAATGTTACTAACTCATCAGACCATTTTGGATAAGCCTTTTACTCCTCTGCATTTCTGTGCTATATGTATAAATGATATGATACCAATTAATATTTTTGCAAACTATTCATATCAAACATGGAGCTTTAGTACACAGCTGAAAACCTAACTGAGCAGTCCAAAATAACTTATCCTGATCACTATTTAGAAAGACCTGAACTCAGATTTTGAAGTCTTTTATGCCTATTACTTTCACTATATTGCCTGTCAGAGTATTTCATATCATACATAACACAGAAAGTGAAGTAATTTATTTCACCAATTTCTGGCCTTAATTTCAGAGACTTTAAAAATCTAAGCATAAATGTTACATAAAACATGCAGATTTCTCTAATAATAGTTACTGCTATTCTATAAATTATATGTCCTAAGTATTTAAAATGGAATCATACTCTATGTTCATAAGACTGAGTACTTCCAGCTACTTAAAATTTGAGGAAACAAGTTCATTTAAAATCCATAATGATTATTTTAAAATAATTAAACAGGAATCACAGTTGTAATAAAGTACATCTTCTAATATTATTCTACTAATGACAGTACGTGAAATAATGTGGGATCTACATAGCAGTACTATAATGAAACATCAACACACACTTCTAAATATCTCTTAAACTAGCAGAAAATCAAAAGTAACATCCTTTGACATATGCACAGCCAAAAGTTTCTTAGATACTGGCACATTCAGATTTCAGCATTTCCAGGTTTCTATCATATTCTTTCAAATGTATAGGTATCTGCCATCTATTTTATGGTGGCCTGGAATCCTTTAGTTCTGCTTCTATATTTGACAACAAGTAGTACACATAATTTAATAAATTACCAGTAAAACATGGCCATATTCATATTTCACACACCTAATATTTACTATATCAAAGAGAGTGGAAACATTATCGAAAAGATCTTTTCCTCTTACTCAATAAATAACTATGCTTCTCATGGAATTTTAATCATACAAACTGAAATACAAGAATCTTGAGTTACATAATATAGTTTTAATATTATTTTATTTATAATAAACAGAAAGAATAAGGGGGAGCATTTATACATAGAATAACATTCTGGAACAGTCTCTGAGGTCAGCCTTTCCATAATTTGACTTGTGGCTATAAATGTATCTTACTCTAAGTACTCATATTTTCCTTATAAATATGGCCAAATCATTTTGTGGTAAAAACAAGAAAAAGTACATATAGCATGCGCACATGTTAAAATACCAGAATGATTTTCTTTTATAAACATGAGTTAGGAAAAATGGAATACATGTGTTTTTTAAATATAATTTTTCTACGGATCCAAATCTATTACAAATGCATATATTTTTAAAGCAATAAAACTTTGTAAATTTTATAATGTAAAGGATAGTGCAGTCAAAGGGACCAGTAATCATTTCATTCACTATTTTTCCAGTTTTCTTAAACTCCCCTGTTGAATTCAACAAAATAAAATCCTGTTGGATAATTTTATTAATTCCCTATGGAGTAAGAAACCAGAAGTTATCTATAAATTTCTCTGGATAATTTTATAATTCATTATGGAGCAGGAAATTAGAAATTACCTATACACTGTCAAAGCCAAGATCAAGTTAATACCCATATAAAAGTTGCCATATTAATAAATGAAATTGGTGGTTACCTAAGTGACATATAACTTTGAAAAAACACTGAATTTGCTCACCAATGTCTAAAATTCCACCACTGCAGATTATTTTATTTTAGGACTCTGCACACTTAAAATAATTACTAAAAGGTAAGGTAGCATTTTAAACATTGGAAGTAATTTATATATTATTGTAAATGATTTTCTTAGTTCTTTTATTGACAGCATACTTTGCTAGGAGGAAGATGGAAAAAATTAGAAGAAAAAGAACAGAAAGAACAATTATAATGAAGATAACCTTCATTATGGGTTAATTGAGAAAAGGTCCAGATCTGCATATTTAAATTAGAAATTTTATACATAATAAATAGAGAGGTATTTCTGTTGGGGAATGTGTATGAGGGCTAAAACAAAGAAACAGCATACTAACGGATTCAAGTATAATAGAATAGAATATATTTAAACAAGGTGGCACACAAATATTTAGCACAGTGCTTGAGAATAAAAAAATGGTGATGGTGATAATGGTGATGGTAGTTTCTATTGTTATAATTATTCTAAGACTAGCTTTAAAATTGAACAAGATGCAGGAAAACAATATTTGGCTTGTTTTGTATTTCTTGACAGTTTGGTAAGTTTATCTTAATACATAAAAATCTCTAAAGTGAAACTAAAATAATTTTATCACATTTTGGCCAAATGTCATGTAAAAACAAATCATGCCTCTTCTAAGCAGTGTGAGTAGAAGACAGACAGCAGAAATATCTAAGGAGTAAGGAAAAGGATTCTGGATTTAAATTCTGAGTAGCTGTGCTCAATTCTTGATTTTACCACTTACAGCTATGATTCTGAGCAAGTCTGTTAACATCTCCGAGCCTCATTTTCCACATTTATATACATTTAATGGTGACTTTAATTCCTACTCTAATCTACCTTCAAGGAATATTACAAAGCTCAATGGATAAAATGCTTTAAAATGATTTGAATATTCTGGTGAGATCTATAATCCGTTAGCCTTATCATTACAATTTTATTCAGGCACACCACAATTTTAGAAAAGCTGTTACAAAAAACTCAATTTTTCTCCTCATAGACTACAGAACACAGTTAGAACAGAATGTCTTACCTATAAAGTGTGTTTGAATAGTAATAAAAACACAAGTAGAAAGCAGGTAGCAAATTAGTTACACTAACTCAGCCAGGGTAATGTGAGGATGCTTCTCTGGACCAGTATCCTCATTTGTTAAATAATGGGACACTGGATGATATCAAAATTTCCTCCCATGTCTGAAATTATTATATTTCCTAGTAAAATTTACTTTCCTTGATTTTATAAACCTGAAAATGCAAGAATCTATAGCAAACTAGTCTCTGAGCTAACAGCTGAAGCAGGCATTTTAAAAACCTCTAGAATATGAGGTTGAACCTCTATCCGGTCATGTAAGAAAAGGTTGAATAGTGCTGCTGTTAGTGTTTTAAGTTATTCATGTATTTTCTGTGACATTTTAGCTCCTTTCCATGGAGAGAAGGGTTTCTTCTACTGGTATAGTAAGGGTTAGAAGTGTTAAATTTAGAGTTATCTTTAAATCTAAATTTTCCTTTACATTTTCAAGTATTATTTGATATACTGTTCAAGTGGCAAAATTTAAACTCTGTTAAATGGATGAGAACAACAGTAAAAGCAAAAAACACATTAATTTTTAATAGGTAAGAAATAAACACATAATTAGATTATATTGCTCTAAAATGAACCTCTAAAAACAAGAATTGAGTTACCTGTCTTCCCTTGAGTCCCTTCTTTCCACGGATCCCAGGAATGCCCTAGAATATAGAAAAGTCATAAATATTTATTGAATGAATTAATTAGATACTACAGAACTTTTTTTCTGAAATTAATGAAGAAATCAATTAATGAAGTATGCCAAAACCAGAAATAAATTGTTCTATAAACTGGTGTGATATTCAGAAAAGCTTCTCTATGTTAATTTCACTGAAGTAGCCCCCTTTTTTCTTTAAAACAAAATTCTGAGTTTATTCAGGTATCCATCCCATCTGTATTTCCAAATGGGATCCTGACATTCTCCTGGCAATAGTTATTTGTCCAATGGCTGGTATACTACCAAAGTTGGCACAACCAGACAAACAGAAAAGTCTTATTTTCCATACCTAAGGGACAATGCCCTCCTCTATGTCTCCCTCCTCTCTGTCTGAATGTAAACGAAGACACATTTGACCTTTGCACTGGCAATCTTGCAATCATATAGGAAACCAGCCTTAGGGTAAAGCCGACATTGGGAAAGGCAAACAGAGAGAAGGATGATGCTATCACTATGCTCAAAATCATCTTGTACCTTGATCCCACCTAACCTATAGATTTCCTGTCATGTAAGAAGCACTAGGGTATAGTATTTAAACACCCAGGCTCTAGAGCCAGAACACAAGTGTTCAAATCCTGGCTCTGCTCTTACCACCTGTATATAGTCTAAGATGAGTTACTTTGTCTGTGTGTGCCTCATTTTCTTCACCAATAATGAGAGGAACAATATATATCTTACTGGGTTTTGCAGGCATTAGAGGAGTTAAATTCATATAAAGTGCTTGTGTGTGTATACATATACACACACACACATACACAAACACACACATATATATGTATACACATAAAACCATTCAATAAATCATTTGCTATTATCATCACTAAAAATTTCTTTATTTTTAAGCCAGTTTGAATTGGGGTTTTCTGTTACTTGCTGTTTGAAGAATCCTACTTGATATAATCACTCTGAGACTTGTAGATTAAGAAATCTGTCACAACCATATAGATTGGGATTGACAGTACATACAGATAAATTAGAAAATATCATTGATTGAAATAATCCTTCACTTTCAAGTCAACAGTGTTTGAGAACTACTTTGTCTCTGATTATCAAAAAAAGAGTTTATAGGTGAGCAAGAAGACTCATTTCATTAGGACTTTATTTATCTTTACATAATACAGCCAACCTTTATAAAAAACAATAGGATAATTATTTTCTAAAAGTTCTGTACCTTCCCTAAATCTCATCTGGAAACCTAAAAATAATGCAGATAGACTTATATAAGTATTTTTCATATGTGTGTATATATATGTATATATTTCATATATGTGTGTGTATATATATTTATACACAATATGTATGTATTTGTGTAATACTGACTTCCAGAAAGAACTTTTTCTTTCTATTTATCTTCAGGGGTGATTAGCATTATTATATATTATTTTCCTCTGATTTTTTATATTAATACTTAAATATTTTATCACATAATAACCTTTTAGCTATATAATTCATGGTTTTAATGAGAATTTTGATATAGCCAAATAATATTAGGACACGGTACCCAGGATACATATAATATCACAAAATGGTCTTATTATATTTTTGTGTTGAGTTAGGTCTTGATATTTTCATATAGACTGGTCAAAATTAATGAGTAGGATTACAGCACTCTGCCTATTGAGGGTCACTGTCAACACTGAGCTTAAGTTTCTTAAATCCAAATGACAATATTTTGTGAAGACATACAATTTTGGTTTATTTTTTAAATCATTTACTAGAAGTAAGTTCATACCAAAAGGTAGACAGGATTGTATCATGAGCAGCAGAGTAATTAATGATATAAACTGGATACACTCCTTTGGGTCAAGAAAAAGCAGTTCGATTCTTTGCATGATCTATGGGATACATCATCTATTACTCTGCCGTATCACATGAAGATTAAGTGGCTTAGCTGTGGTATTATTCTGAAGGTAGTTTCTGCTATTGAAGAAATGACTTGTTATGTTGACCAAGGAAAAATCTTCATATCTTCTCACCAAAGAAGATTGGATATTTTGATTGTAATTGCAGTGCATTTAAACTCTTCAAATATTTCTTCTCTGAAGGGGTATTTACAAGTAATTATAAGAAAACGTGGTTTAATTTACTTACTCAAAAAAACCAATATTTGAAAAATTCATTTAGCAAAAAATAATCTGGTTCACTTTCATTTGCAAAAATCACTTTCCAGAAATGAAAATGAAAATTTTGTCCTGAACTTACTTATAATGATAGAGTTAAAGGCTCAATTCTCTAATTTCAAACTATACGACAATATAATAACATTATTCAACTCTACTTTTTTCAATTAATACTGACAGTGTAAATGAAGGCATGCAAAGGGAAATCACTGGACTCTGTATAGCACTGAAAACTGGATATGATAAAGATATAATGCCAAAACTCCACAAATATCTTGATTAATCTTTTTAAGTATAACAAACCATTTTGCAAAGGTTTTATCTTTATTCATACATACCTACATTTATGAACAGCTATCTCTCATTATGAAATTAAACAGAAATATATCTTCTGAGGCTAAATTTGTTAATGCACATTGCACTGCAAAATCAAGACCTATGACGGGTATATGCATACACAAAGAGTGCAATGCGCACCACCCAAAGGATGGACATATTTGAAACTCGGACTTGGGGGGGGCAAGGGCAACATACGTAACCTAAACATCTGTACCCCCATAATATGCTGAAATAAAAAAAAAAGAATTTATATTTAAATTAAAGATTAGTGAATTATAAAATAAAAATTTCATAATTACATATTTTAATATTTCAATGTATACTTTTTAAAATTTGAATTTAAAATACCTAAGACATTACTTCTTATAACAAAATTCAGGAAGATTTAAGAAAGTCTAATTATATTTCTGGCAGGTGATTTTTCTTAATCCTGGTTTGCCCACTCAGTAAGATACTTCCCTGACATCTGAGTTTATGATTCCTGTTGTACATTATCATAAATATATCACTTTAGAAATAATATTTGAAGGAGATGGACTTACCCTTTCTCCTTCAGGTCCCAATTTTCCTGCTTCTCCAGGAGAGCCAATAAAACCCTAAAAGCAAGAAAATAATCTTTATATTATTTCACTTGAATATTTACCCCATAAGTAATTCTAAACAGGAGTACTTCAAGTTTTATTTGAAGTAATATGAAATTATAAAACTTAAAGTATGAATAATACCCCCTCAGCTAACTGCCTTTCTTCCAGAAGTTACAAATCTTTTCATTAAAAAAAATGTAGGCGACAGGAGCTTCAAGATGGCTGACTAGTGGCATTTCATAATCCCCTCTCCCACCAAGAAGAACCAAAACAATGAGTAGGTAATCACAATTCAAATAGATCAAGCAATTCCAGAATACTGGAATTCAACAGAAAAGTGACAGGAAATATCAAAAGCAAGAAAGGAGGAGGAAGCAAGACAGCCTGCTCAGATGGGATCAGCTGGGAGCAGAGAGAGAGACTCCCAAATATGGGGAAAAGGTGAGTGACAGACCCTCAGTGGTCCACATTCCCATTGTGGTCTCTTGTAATCTTAGCCATGGGAGAGCCCCTCTACCCTTGCAGGCTATGAAACTAACATAGGTAGCTGCGATGGCACTGCCACAGGGAGGCTGGGTCCCACACACTCACTGAGACCTATGTAGCAGTGGCAAGGAACCATTTTAGCTACCCACAACAGACTGCACTGCCCTGTAGTCCAGTGTCACCAGGGTTGAGGACCAAGAAAAGCAAAGGCTGCTGCCTTTGGGGCACAGCTATGAAAGACATTGAGCTATTATGTACCCAGAGCTGAGGCATGACAGAGGAATCTGCCACTACACCAGAGGCTCAGGCATGAGCACTGCAGGGGTTGAAGTAGTGTGAGTGGCACATGTGTTCTCCACACACCAGCCTAGGCTCCAGTCACTGGAGGCTGCACCACTCTCTCCAGTGGAAGGGCAGGAGTGTCTACTGCCCCCCCCCCCCCAAAACTAAGCATTCCACAGGTGGCCTGGAGATCACTGCACCCCTACCTACTATGGCTAGCACCTATACACACCATCAGGGCACATGAGGACAGCCCAACTGGTCTGACTTTGTTAACCCTGAAGCCAGAGCACACAGGCAGGGGGCGAGGAGATTTCCCAGACCAGTCCACCACTGTTGGCATCTGAACTCTGCTCCTGGGTCCTGAGGTTGGGCCTACCTACCTGGCCACTACCATCATAGCTGACATCTACTTGCATGTCAGGTCGCCTGGTGACTGGCCCATCCAGCATATTGCAACCAATGCCAACACCAGCATACAACACTCAGGACCCAGATGGTCATCCTGCCACCGTTAGTGCCATCACCCATGCCACAACAGATGCTCAGAGGATTGAGAACATGGCTATCTGCCTGGCTCCCTGCTGCCATTACCAGCGTCTAGTAAGCCACCGGGAGGCCTAAGAATTGGCCCACCCAAACTTGTTAACATTAATGCCAGCGTAAGCTGCCCTGGGGCCCAAGGACAAGCATGCTCAGAACACTGCTGCCACCACTGGGGCAACCAACACCATGCATACATCTTCAGAAGAATGTCCTCCCCTATGAAAGCAAATTCAAAAAATTGGGAGAAGTGACTGTTAGATCAGATGTGCAGATAACTTAAGGACATAGAAAACATGAAAAAGCAAGGAAATATGATACCTTCAAAGGAACACAATAATCCTCCAGCAGCAGATCCCAATCAAAAGAAATTTAAGAAATTCCTGAAAAAGAATTCAAATTATTGATTCTAAAGAAGCTATTAGAGAATTCTGAAAAACAATATAAAGAAATCAGAAAAAAAACCACTCATCATTAAAAAAAAAAAAGAACCAAACAGAAATTCTAAAACTGAAGAGTTCATTGAATGAAACACAAAATACATTTGAAAGCTTCAACAATAGACAAGATCAAGCAGAAGGAAGAATTTCAGAAAGTGAAAACGGGTCTTTTGAAATAACTTAATGAGACAAAAAAATTTTAAAAAGAATGTAAAAGAATGAGCAAAGCCTTTGTGATATATGAGACACCATAAAGTGACAAAATATTTAAATTTTGGGGGTCCCAGAGGGTGAAGACAGAACAAAAGATTTAGAAAACCTATTTAACAAAATAAGAGATAAAACTTCCCATTTCTAGCAAGAGATTTATACATGGAGACACAGGAAGCTCTGAGATCACCCAAATAATACAATGTAAAATAGTCTTCTTCATAGCACATTATAGTCTTTCTAAAGTCAAAGACAAAATTCTAAAAATGGCAAGAGAAAACCATATAGTCATCTATAAAGAAAGCCACATCAGACTAACAGCGGATTTCTCAGCAGAAACCTTATATGCCAGGAGAATATAGGATGATGCGTTCAAAGTGTTAAAAGAAAAAAAACTTCCAAGCAAGAATACAATATCCAGAAAAATTATTCCTCATATATGAAGGAGAAATAAAATCATTCCCAAATAAGCAAAAGCTGAGGGAATTTGTCACCACTCAACATGCTTTACAAGAAATGCTCAAGAAAGTCTTAAATCTGGAAGCAAAAGGGTAACATTTATCATCAGGAAAACACATGAAATTATAAAACTCACTGGTAGAGCAAAAACACAAATAAAAAAGAAAAAGGACTCAAATGTTTCAACTATAGAAAACCACAAGACCACAACAATGACAATAAGAGAAAAGAAAAGAAAAAAAGAATACACAAAACAATGAGAAAACAATTAACACTATGACAGGAACAAAATTTCACAAATCAATAATAACCTTGAATGTAAATGGATTAAATTTTCCACTTACAAGATATTGACTGGCTGAATGGATTTAAAAAACATGATTCAACTATATGGCTGCCTACAAAAAATGCACTCACCTGTAAAGATGCACATAGACTATAAGAAAATGGATGGAAAAGAATATTGCATGCAAATGAAAACCAAAAGTGAGTAGAAGTACTTACATTTATTAGATAAAATAGACCTTAAGTCAAAACAGTAAAGAGAAACAAAGGAGGTCATTAGATAATGAAAAAGGGATGAATTTGGCAAGAGGATATGAAAATTCTAAATATATATGCAACCAACATGGGAGCACCCAGGTTCATAAAGTAAATATTACTAGATCTAAAAAAAGAGAGAGAGAGAGACTCTGATATAATAATAGTAGAGGACTTCAATATCCCACTCTCAGCATTAGACAGATCATCTAGACAGAAAATCAACAAAGAAACACTGAATTTGAATTGGACTTTAGGCCAAATGGACCTAACAGACATTTACAGAAATTTTAATCAGCAACTGTAGAATACACATTCTTATCATCAGCAGATAGAACATTTTCCAAGAATGACCATATATCAGGCCACAAAACAAGGCTCAACAAATTTTAAAAATTCAAACTCATATCAAGTATATTCTCAGACCATAATAGAATAAAACTAGAAGTCAATACCAAGAGGAACTTTGGAAAATGTACAAACGCATTAAAATTAAACAACATACACCTGAACAACCATCAGATAAATGAAGAAAGTAAAAATCAAAAAATTTCTTGAAACAAATGAAAATGGAAACACCAACATACCAAAACCTGCACAATACAGTAAAATCAGTATCATAAAGTTGATACCAATAAATGCTTACAGCAAAAAAGTAGAAAGCTTTCAAATGAACAATCTAAGGATGCACCTCAAGGAATCAGAAAAGCAAGAACAAACCAAACCCCAAATTGGCAAAAGGAAAGAAATAATAAAGATCAGAGCAGAACTAAATGAAATAGATA